CTCCTGTCAGCACTCGTCATCTTGGAGAAGAATCCTGGGACTCAGACCTGCCACCGCACTCTCACTTACTCCATCGACAGATTTTTACCTCCTCAAACCTTCTCAACATCTGTCGAAGTCCTCTGCTTCCTCCATCTCCATCAGCATCACCACTCCAGCCCAAGCCCCTGCCGGGAACAGGCAGAGGCTTCCCAGATGGTCTTGCTTACATCTGTGATCATCCCTCCTAGTCTCTTTTTCACAAGACGACTGGGCTAACCTTTTTGAAACAAATAAATATTTTATCATGTCGCTCCCATTTAAATGACTTGAATGGCTTCTCACTGATCTTGGGATAAAGACCCCAGTCAGCATGGCCCGCGAGGCCTGACCTGCCCAGCCCCTGCACGCCTCTCTAGCAGCGTTTCACACTAAACCCTGTCCTCCCCGGTGCCCCAGCTGCGCCCACCTGCCTCAGCTCCTAGAGTGTGCCATGTGCCCTCCTGCCACCCAGGGCCCTTCCACACGATCTCTTTTTTCTGCTGGGATTTCTCTTCATGCCATCCTCTCCAATCCCTCTGTTATTAATTCCTCATCTTTAAGATTTAAGTTCAAGTGTAATTGTTTCCAGGGAAGCTTTCCTTGACTTCCCTAAATAGGTCAAGTTCCCCCCATTACATGCTTTCATAGCACCATCCATGTACATCTTCTGAAGCTGCTATAACCAGTTGTAACTTCACATATACGTGTGTGATTATGTGAGTAACCCATTCGCCCCACTAGCTTTGAGTTCCAAAGATAGGAGCTGGTGAGACACTCTCACCTACCAGGGCCTGTCACAAAGAAACATGCAATAAACGTTTGTAGGACATTGCTTTTCAATGAAAAAACAGAGGTTCCTGCTATTGCCAACGCCAAGGCAAGCCTGGCATTATCCACATCATTCACTAATGTTCTTGAGATTCTGGACAACACAGTAAGATAGAAAACTTACACAAGATAAACAAACTTTGGAAAGGGAAAGAGAAAAATCATGATCAATTGTAGATAATTATTTACCTGAAGAATTCAAAAGAATGAACTTGAAAACTGTTAGATGCATTGAGAGGCTCAGCAAGTTAGTTAGATCAGATGCTTAAAAAAAAAACCAGTACCGTAATATAAGAGGAATAACCTGTTACTATTATATTATAAAACAATCATCCCATTAATATTTATTACATCCATGTGTCAGGCACTATGATTAAACACTTCTGCAACATGATCTTGTTGAAAGATCACATTTAATCCTTTCATTAATCCTAATGAGGGAAGTATGGCTCTTCTTATTTACAAAAATAAACCACTACAAACTTAAATAATTAGCCCCAAGGGAGTGGCAGACGTAGCGTTCCAAACCGGGCCAGCCCTCACAGTCCATGTGTGTACTACTAGCCTGTGCTGTTGGGAAATACAAAGGTGAAAATGAAAGGTCATAAATGAAACAAGTAACATAAGATACAAAAGAAAAACTGGTGAGGAATGTTCATAATGTAGTAAATTGTAAAGCCTTACCGTAAAGTATTAAAAGAGGTAAGCTTAACTCCCAGGATGTATACATCTGTGTACACACACACAGAGACACACACACACAGGGCTGCATACGCACACACACAAATACACTCTGGAAGCTGGAAATTGAGTATGTCTGGATTCTTCATACTCTGGAGAATTAAAAAAGAATTCTCTGTTGCCCCTCTAGTACGAAAGCAGACTTATAAAAGATACTCAAGCATCAGTAATTACAACAAATGGACTTACTTTTATTTCCTGCACAATGTGAAGGCCAGCTAGAAAGTACGAACACACAGTATCATGATGTGACCAAAAGTTTATCTTTTTGGAAATCTATCATTTGCATATCTATATATATATATACAGATATTTTTTACCAGAAACAAGAATGTTGAAGAAATAACTATAGGTCTGTGGAAATTCTATTTCCTGTGGTTTTCAGTCATTACAGACTTACCCTCTCTGTTATCCAGGGTGAGGGCTAAAAACCCACACTCAAAACCACACGTAAGTGGACTTGTAAAGGCCGAGCCTCTAAAACCACATTAAAATGGATCCCAGAGAGGCAGCATCACTGCCTGTAAGTAATGCAGTAGAGAGACAGTAAAACGAAAAGTAACCAAAGCTGCGCTCCGTCAGGACAGGGGCCGTGTCTTTGTTCTGTGCCCTGGTACTGAGCACAGAACCCCATGCAGAGCCATGGAGTCTAGCACAGGGCAGGTGTCCAGTTCCCTGCATTTATAGGGGACTTTGGTTTCATGCCCTAGCTCTTCAGTTTTATAAAACTTAGTTACATACTTAAAAGGAAATGTTAAGCTTGAACCCAAGACCTTAAAAACATTATGTTTTGCAAAGCTGAGAAGCTTAGTACATGCACTGACAGTTGAACCAACCCCCTGTAAAGAATGACAGTTAAGTTGTTCGTTTTCTATTTTGAACTGTGTGATGGCCTCCGATCCGCAGCTTCCCCAGCTGTAAAATTTGGGTTAGTGGGTAACCAAGGTTCACCTTAATGATATTATTCTGAATTATACAACATGATACACCCTCACAAGGCTAAATTGTTGTTTAACTGAGCGTTGAAAGATTGAGTGCTGAACCAAATTGATCACTGTTAAAATTTGTAAAATGTGTTCCAGATACACAAGAGGATGTCAGAAAGCAAATGGGCACCTTCACATCAACCATATGAATACTGAAATGCATTTTTGACACGTGCAAGGCATTTCTCTCCTCACAGCAGACCAAAAGGTCCACGGTGCCAGTAAGGATAAACTCAATTAGTCAAGTTTCACAAAACTTATGTGTTTTAAATGGATCCAAAGGTTATTCTACTACTCCTAAGTATATACCCAAGAGAAATGAAAACATATGTTGTACAAAAATGTGTACACGAATGTTCAAAGCCGTATTATTCATAATACCCAAGACATGTGAATAATCCAAAATCTAAGTGATGAATGGATAAATAAAATGTGATATATCCATACAAATGGAACAGTATTCAGTCACAAAAAGAAATTAATTACCAATTTATGCTACAACATGGATGAACATTGAAAACAGACTAAATTAAAGCAGGTGGCCACAAAGGACCACTTGCTGCGTGATTCCATCTGTATGAAATGTCCAGAACAAACAGAAAGTAGATTAGCAGTTGCCAGAGGCCACCGCTAGCAGGGTGAGCGGCCGTTTGAGGGAAAATGGGGAATGATTGCTTAATGGCACAGGGTTGTTTTAGGTGTCCTAAAATTGTGCTGATGGGTGCACAGCTTTGTGAACATACTAAAAAACACCAAATTGTATACTTTGAATACGTGAATCACATGGCATGTGAATTATATCTTAATAAAGCTGTTGCAGAAAAAAATAGATCATTCCAGTGGGTGCAGCCATCCTGGAGGTGGAACCTAGGGCCACCTTAGTGGGCACTGGGAACACAACGGCAGATCTTCACAAGTTGGCACCAGGCTCCAAAGCAGAAGTCTAACAGACTCTCCCAAATGAATCAGAATTCACCTGATCCTCTTTCCTTGGGCAACTCCAACTGGTCTCTTGAGTTCCAAGGACCCGACATGCCATTCTTTTCACCTGGAGAGGGCCCTCCCAGTCCGGAAAAGAAATGAGGTCGAGGACGACGGAGTACTAGATAAAACAGCAATTCTATCAATGACAATAGTTAGAAGCCTGAGATTAATACAGTAGATGTGGGGTATGCATGCAATAGCAGCACCCACTTCTGCTCCAACAACGAGGGACAGAGCTCCAAGTCTCCGGTGACACAGCAGCGACACAGTGGCTCAGAAGTGGGAGAGGGATGCATTTTGCAATCATGTAGCAGAAAGCTTCAGACATCTATAATTGCATTTGAGTTGGGAAACATTTTTGCATCTCGGTGACTATCTCTAGAGGGTTTCCTAGACTCATCAGGAAGGTATCAGTCCCCAGATGTCCAAGGGAATATCAGCCTTAAGGTTTCCAAGATACAACAAAAGAAGTGTCCAGGATCCTGAACTCAGAGGGAGCAAGAGCTAAGCTTTGGGCAGCAACAGACATGAGGCAGTGTAGGGGCAACTGAGACCACACGCCCTGGAGGGAAGAGATGGAGCAGACATTTAGGATCTGAGTGAGACAGAAAACTACATTTCTGGCTAGTTCAGGTGGGCTGCTAGGAACCAGGGAGAAGCAAGTAAGAGAGGGAGAGAGAGTCTGGAGGCAAATAAGGGTTCTTTTCCTGACTTCCACGTGTGTACCTCCATACGACAGGCAGTAGCTTCGCTGAAGCCTGGGGGTAAAGCACATGCCGCTCCATCTGGGTTTACGGAAGGACTGGTGTCTAGGACAGGTGGGTTGGCAGGCTGAGTGAGACAGAAAAGGAGAAAGACAGATACCATCGAGTCACGGCCACTGGATGGTAAGGACTGAGAATGTACTCAAGAGCCCGGGGAAAAAAGGGTGAGAGGCTCGGGCGCAATGACCGGGCCATGAGCTCTAAGACCTGACCGGGGACTCCGAGAAACGGGCTCAGGGCCACCAGGAGGGGTGGAGCATGCTCCTGAGCCAATCGCCTGGAAGGCCGCGGCCTCCTTATTTTTCCCACCATTGGCTGGGGCCAAAGTCAGAGCACGCCTAACCCCCAGCTTCAGCCGAGACAGCTGGCTGCAAGGCACAGTCAGGAGTCAGCGACAGGATGTCAGGGGCCCTGGATTCCTGATGAGATGAGTCTCCTTCATGTGGGTAGAGGATTAGGTTTCCCATTGATTATTTCCGTCTTTTTACTTCCAACCGAGAGAGAACGCCGATCGGGACTCCTGCTCCCTGCTCCTCCACTGCCTTTCGGATCCTGGAATGCTGACAGCACCCTGGGGCCAGCTTCCACCCTCAGAGGGTCACCTGACTGATTGCCACCTCCTAATCTTAACAGGGTCCCCAGGCTATGCCTGTACTCCACACGGACACACATAAATTGTGCTCATCCGTTTGCTCGGCCCTGGTTTCTGGCCTAATCTGCAGGGATGAACCTAAGAATTCTCTGAGGATGCCTTCTGACCTCGAGCCGCATCAGACAGGGCAACCCCAGGCGGCCTCAAGCTGCAGTTCTGATTTATGCACAAGTGCCTTGACTTGGCATTTCTGCATTTTCCTACTCACTCTCTATGAACCAGGGACCTCTCTCTCCACCTCAGGCCAAAGGAATGTCGGATACAGTGCCACCATCCTTTATCTTTATGGAATAATCACAATGAAAAATAAAAGAAAGAAAAAGCATAGTTTTCAGTTGTTCAGGTGACTTAACCTCCTTTCCACTTCTGCTAGTTTGCACGTTTGGCTTAACTGACTTAGTGATTTCTCAAGCCATTAGTAACACAAGCCTAACAGTCCTTTAAGCAAAAGATCAAGTACCTCCCAAACATGTCGCGGTGCAGGGGGTGAACCCAGCGTACTCCCAGTCGTAAGTCATCTCACTGTCCTCCTCCTGGAGGGGCACGTCCAGCTCGCGGGAGGCTGGGCTCTCATCACAGGGGTCCAGGAGGCAAGGCCGCTCGGTGGGCAGCCTGGGGCCTTCACACTCCTCCTCAGGCAGCTCGGTCTCCGTCTGTGTGAAGGTCAGGAGCACGCGGCACTTCACCTCGCGCACCTGGACGCCGGGCCCACACGTGGTGCTGCAGGTGGACCAGGGCTCCGGGATGAACCTGCAAGAAACCAGGGAGCCACGGGAAGAGGACAAGGGCAGTCACTAAAGAGAGGCCCCAAAAGGAGGCGTGGCAAGCATTCTATGTAGGAAAAAGGGACATGCATTCAGAGGGACTGCAGTACATTTGGAAAGCTGTACTTTTGTGGATGCTCAAAAATCTGTAGCTGACAAATGTTCAGACTTTATCAGCAGCAGAAAGAAATTTTTCACCAGAGGTACACTAAACTTTTGCACCCATTTTATGATGCAAATTCTGTGCTGTGTCCTTTGCAAAGCATCACGAAAAGCTTTTCTTTAACATCTGGCACTAAATAAACCTTTGTGGAGAGACAATTTCTAATCTCATTTCTTTTATAACATGGAGATGTTCACCAGCATTTATTCAAGAAATCCTTATCAAACTTACCCTGTCTTAACAGGTAGAGTTTTATTAAAATGTCTCAATATTTAGGAGCTAAACTGTAGGATAACAAATGCTTTCTGTAGAGTAGATGCAGCTTTAATATCTTTTCCCTTTAATATGTAAATACACAAAACTTCCGAATCTGCTTGAAAATGTCATAGACGTCACACAGTCTGGTTGAATAAAGCATTTATTTCTTATCCTAAATTATTATCCACTAAATCAGAGCAGATCACCCTGTGGCCTATCAGGTCAAATTCAGCCCATCTCTTTCTGCACAGCCTACTAACTAAGAATGATTTTTACTAATTACCCCCACCACCCCCAAAAACAAACAAACAAACAAAAAAGAATGATTTTTATAGTTTTAAATGGCTGGGGGAAAACAAGGATGATCTTTGGTGTCTTGCAAAAATGACATAAAACTCAACTTAAGTGTCCGTAATTAAAGACCTATTGGAATGCAGCCATGGTCACTTGTTCACTCACTGTTTACGGCGGTTTTTGTGCTACATGGCAGAGCTGAGTATTTGCAAGAGACTGGCCCGCAGATCCTAAAATATCTATTATCTGGCCCCTTACAGAAAATGTTTACTGATTCCTGCACTGAATTTAAAAAAGAGATTCAGTAGTGACATATATTTTTAAGATACTCGGAAGGCAACACTTGCATCATGAGATATTAACAAGTAACAGGCTGGAAAGAGCTCAGTGCTAGAGGAAGTCTGGGAAACTTTGGGTTCATGCATGTTCAATAGGTTCATTTACTGCAAAACTTCTCCCCAAACTACGATACGTGAATGCGAACTATCCATCCTTAACAGGGGAAATTCACGTGCATCACTTCATCATTTAAGTGGGTACAGGGCTCTATTCGTAGGCTAATGTTGCACTAAATAACTGCAGAAAATGCCGCTGAGATGTTTGCTTAAGATGCAGTCCCAAGGCTTCAAGTTTAAAATCTCAGAAAGACAGAGTTGGAGGGTCTTTCAGCGTCATCCTGCCTTCCTCCCTTCCCTCGGTAAGACTTCATTCCCATTGTGCACAACAGCACATCCCAGTCAGCACAACTGAAACACCACTGCTCTAAATGAGCCCAAGAAAGAAATATTAGTAACCCCTCCCTTCCCCCCAATTTGTTTCTTGTGTTGAAAATGATCAGTGGGGAACTCTATTCTCTAATTCTCATTCTCCATGAGAAGGTTTGCTCAACTTCCCAGGAGTATTGGAGAAATATCTGTGTTTTTACCCTTTGCTTTGCTTGCTGCTTTCCTGGGGTAAAACTGGAAAGAAGGAGACTGATTAAATTTAAGATGAAGCATCCACACAATGTAAGAAGTTGAGGTTATTTAAAAGAAGGAGGTGGGATGTGCCCTTCAACAGCTCAGCTGGTAGACCGGAGGACTGTAAAAGAAGGAGGTGGGTCTACATGAATTGATGAGGAATAGTCTCCTCTTGGAGATCGTTAAACGAAACAAGTATGGGGCAGTTCATATACGATGACCTCCTGCCTAAACAAAGAGGGCATATATATGCACATACAGCGTACATATATGATACATATTTATAGCATAGATGTCTATATATGTTAGTATAATTTCTGTTTTCAGGAAGCAATTACAAATGTCAGGAACTGGAGTTTGTAAAGAGAGAGGCTTTTGCTTTTTGTTTTGCAGTTTTTAAAAGGTTTGAATTTTCTAACCATGTGCATACTGTAATTTTACGGTCATTAATATTTTTCTCTTTTCTCCTTAGTAATAAAAACTTAAAATTGGGGATTATGTTTTAATGGGAAGTATTTTTTTTTTCATTCCCATTGGACTCCTGTGTCTCAGTGATTCGGAATCCTGAGAGGAGAGTGGGTAAGTGGGAAGGCTCACCTCAGTTTCCGACCAGGCAAATGATTGTTATACCAATGTTTTTCTAGGTGCCCTGGATGTTTCAAGATGGTTTTCAAGGACGCTTTAGAGGTCTTCTTAAAAAATAAGTGTCAGAGCTGTCCAAATTAACCATGTGATTTGGAGGAGGAGGGGAGGGGAGCCATGGCAACTCAAAAAAATGTATGCATAACCTAGCATGATTTTCTTTAATGTATTATTATTTAAACAAAAGACATAATAAAGTTTGTGCAGTTCTGAATCTTGTTTTGTTTTTGTTTCTCCCCCATGGTAATTTTTTTTTTAAGGAAAGAAAGGAACACAGCTGTATGAAAGCATCTGAAGAGCCATATCTGGGCAAAACACAACCAGAGAAACAGAGCAAATTTCCTATGTTTTTGCACAATAGGAAAACTTTAAAATAATATCAGTTCACAAATATCAGAGGTTGGACATGAGATGATAAAATAACAGAATAAAATGGAAAACTACAGAGGTGAGGGGAAAAACTATGAAATATAACATTATTAGAAATCCAACAAATAATTCAGAACCAGAAGGAAAAAAAAACAGAAGAAACATGGCTGAAGATCAAATTAATGACATAGAGGCAAGACTTGGAAGTGAACGCAGTATTGAGAGAGAGAAAGAAAAGCTTTTAAAGCAGCTAGAGGAGTGAAGGGAGGGCTGGGCGGCAAAGAAAGCTTTTGTGGGTGATGGAAACGTTCTGTATCACGAGTGGGATTGGGGTTCTGTGGCTAGACACATCTGTTCAAATGCATCACTTTAAACAGACACAGTTTATTGTATGTAAATTATACCTAAAATGGATGTTTTAATGCCATTTTTAGAGATAAAACGAGAGAGAATCTAAATAATCCAATATTGAAAATAATTGGACTCTTCAAGTAGAAGTTGCAACACATGAAACAGAAAAAGTGTTCATAAATATGTAAAAAAAAAAAGTGCCTAAAATACAGCTTGGGAAAGTACACTGTCCTCCAGGAAAAGTGACAGAAATGGTTAACATAAAAACCTAGCGTTTTCAGCAGACTAATGCCTCCCCTAAAGATGCCCACATCCCAATTCCTAGAATTTATGAGTATGTTACATTGCACGACAAAAGGGGCTTTGCAGATGTGATTAAGGTTATGGACCTCAAGATCAGGAGACCATCTTAGTGAGCCTAATCTAATCACACAAGTCCTTAAGAACGAAAAAAATTTTCTGGCTGGAGTTAGAGAGATGCAGCAGAACATGAGTTAAGAGAGATTCAAAGCACAAGAGGTACTCAACCCCTTGTCGCTGGCTCCAAGATGGAAGGGGCCAGGAGCCAAGGAATGCAGGAGGGCCCCAGAAGTTGAGAACAACTCACGGCCAACAGCCAGTAAGGAAATGGAGATTTCAGCTCTACAAATGCGTGGAACGGAATTCTGCCAACTTGCTGAAAGAGCCTGGAAGTGGATTCCATCCTAGGGCCTCCAGAGAAGAGTTCAGGCTGAGCAACCCCTTGATTTTAGCCTAGTGGGATCCAGAGAAACCAGCTGACTCTACTAGCATCTGATCTACAGGATTGTGAGATAACAAATTCATTTTGTCTTAAACCACTAAGTTTGTGGTGATTTTTCACAGCAGCCAGAGTAAATGAAGATACCTGGCTAAAAAAATGAAAACTTTGAGGATGTAGAAAGAATTGTACAGGCATCTAGGCACAAAAAAACAAGTTCCTATCAGAATAAAAAGTCAGGCGGACCCCAGACTCACACAACGTTCAAAACCAGAAAGCAGTGGAGCAAAAGATTTGGGAGAGAGAATCTGGGTCCCAAGAATACTGTGTCCAGTCACAACGTTATTCAAATACAAAGGCAATAATTTTCTCTAAAATAGAGACAACAATAGGCTCAACCTTATAGGGTTAGGTAAGGATTAAAAGAGAGTCAGAGTGAAAAGCTCAATGACTACAATAAAATTAAAATGGCAGCAACCAGCATTCATTGCATTGTTAACTGGGTGAGATACTGTTCTATGTAATTCACACACAGCTTACCATTTACTCATAACAACCACCCCGTCAGGAAATATTGCTATTATTCCCATTTTACAGACGAGGAAACTGAGATACAGAGAAGTCATTTGTCAAAAATTACACAGTAGCTGCTGGCATTATTTCACTCTGCCTCAGCAGTATCATAGATGAGAGATGTATATTAAGATTATCCAAGATGACAGTAAAAGGATCCCAGGAAAAATCGACAATACTGTTTGGGGGCATTTATTAATTTTATTTCAAAATGAATAAATAAACACTTTAAAATTGATAAAATTGATAAAAATAATTCTTCAGTATAAAAGAAAAAGAACGTAACACGTATTAGTGAAAGAAAAAATTATTTGGGGAGAAATATCAGAAATAGAAGGACATAGCACAGCATCTACTTAAAATTAAATAACAATAAAATTCAGGGAAACATTCTATAAAACAAAAGATAAAAAATGTGATTAAAAAGTCAAAACATGACTGGAGAAAACTTCTGGCTTGGTTGATAAAAGACTGAAAAATACAAAAAAATAACACAAAGTTTGCTCTATGACAGAAGAAAATCCAAATGAACAGTATGGAAATCCACTCAATAATGAGGAGGAGGGAAGTGCTTTTGTTGGAAGGGAAGGTATGCTTCCAAAACATAGAGGAAAAAAGACAAAGATGTGGGGGGAAACACCAAATGTTAAAAATAGAAAAGAGATGCTGGTGAACCTTTAGAATAAATAAGAAAAACAATAGAAAAGAGGCATAAATATAACAGAAGAAAACTTTCATGTACCCAAGAAAGATTTGAATCTATGTCCTAAAAGCCCTCACTATTTAGCAAAATTATTGAAAAGAAAATAATTTCTGGACTTATTCTGGTGAAATCCTCTAATTTTAAGTACATGGGGAAAAACTCTTAAATCTAAGCTGAAAAAAATGGAGAGCAAAAGGAGAAAAGGCAGTTTAGGCTCAAATATTTCTTCTTTGATATCCAGAGCCACATGTTCAGAGTTCTAAGGAAAAAAAAAGCAACCTTATTAAACAAGATTTTGTGCTTCTACTCAACTGAGATGGTATAAGAAATGCATTCTTAAATACAGAGGATCTTAGAGGTTATCCTATCCATATAATCTCCTAGAAAAATATGCATAAAGATCTACTCCAATTCAATGAAAATTTAATTTAAAATATCACTGCGAGGGAAAAACAAAAACAAAACAAGATTCATAACTGCATGAACACTAATACATCTTTTGTTTAAATTTTAAAAGGGAGATTTGACAATAGAAATTGAATGCCTCCAACGTGCCCATCTTCTGGCTCAGAAATTCCACACAGCAAATGTGTCCTAAGGAGACAATTAGGGATGTAGGGATGTACAATTAGAGATTTGCTACAGTTTTATGTATCATGATAAATAATTAGAAGCAAACTGCAGACAGCTAGAAAGATCTTTCTAAAATGTAATTGTGATTACATCACTTATTAAAAATCCTCCGATGGCTCTCATTGCCTCCAGATGAAGCCCAAATTCTCTCGTGAACCATGGAAGACCTCCAAGACGTGCTGACTTTTCTAGCTGCATCCTTGCTGCCATTACCACCTCCCTATCCTCCAGGTCTCTCTCCACACTCAGTACCTCAATGTCCAAGTGTGTCCCCCATGGGCCAGGAGGTCTATCTGCCATCCCAAGTACCTGACACCCAGGTCTTAGGGCATCACTTCACGTGCCAACTCTCCCAGGAAGCCACCCCTGACCTCACAATACCATAATATAGTCACTAACTCCTCTTTCGGCCCTATTAGACCACCTAAGGGTGGGTGAGACTTGAATTCAGGTTTCCTGACACAAAATTGGAGCTCTCCCTAGTATCACATGCCAGAGAACCATATCTGAAATGCTGGATAATTCCTTAATCTTTCTGTGCCTTGATTTTTCTCCTCCCTAAAATGAGAGTAATAATAACACCTCTTTATGGGGGTCATTGTGAGAATTAAATAAGTCAATCCGCATAGGACACGTAGAACACTGGCACAAAAAAAGGCCTACTATTGCTGGGAGAAGAAAGATGCCTGGAATATAAGCTAATTTGATCTTAGCAAATACAAAGTCCATAAATGGAGGGGCTAAAATAGCAGGAAAGAAAACATACAAAGTGTTCTAAACCTGTAGTATTTCCTTGGTATTTATACATGAAAAATGGGGGAGAAGGCAGCGTGACGGAGGAAGCGTTGTGAATCCCACAGAAACCAGGGAGGCTCCAGGGAAGAACTTTGAAAACAACAATGAACAGTATCAACTGTCAACACATTCCACAGCCGAAAGCTAAGAAGGTCAAAACTGCAGTTCCCCTGGCTTAGCTTTATAAGCTGTAATTTTTATTTTCCTAATTAAAAAAAAGCCTTCTGAACATCCGCCCCCCTATGTAAATTCAGAGCTCGGGCGGGCCCTGGTAAACCACAGAGGCAGAAATATTTATCTTCTCCAGGCGGGTTTGGCAGGCTTTCCTCCAGGGATCTGAACTGCAGCTATGTTCATCTTCTCGTTCACTGTCAACAAGCAAGCATCCCCAAACCACAAAAGACGGGGGTAATAAAAGGATGAACTGGAAGCTGAGATATGTTGTGGTTTTGCTTGGAAATCAAGGGAATGAACAGAGTCAGAAGGGTGGGAGGAAACCATAAACTTCACACTAGATAGCCAGGAACAGGCCAGAAACTGCCAGGCAGTGTGAGTTATAAAGGAAAATTGCAGAGAGACCACAGAGGGAGAGAGGGCAGGAGGGTGGGAGGAGGCAGCCGCTCCGGCCAGGGAACAGGTGCTGGGGCCTCCGTCTTCTGTGCTGGGGAGAAGGAAGCGGTGGTCTGCAAGAGGAGAGGGTATATTAGCTCTGCTCTGGGAAGACGGACAGGAAGCTCCACCAGCAAAGTCAGTGGGGCCAACAGAAAATGCAGGCTTGGGGATGAAATGGGGCCTGAACCTCCTGTAACTTACATGGTATCTCTCTTTTCCAGTTAAGTAATGAAGAGTAATTTCAAAAGGGGCCCTAGGGACTAACTGACCGAGTGGTTCCCAAATCTGGATGCACACACCGAAGTCACCTGGGGCGCTTGCTAAAAGTGCTGCTGACAAATCCACAGAGATGGAAGGTACAGCAGAGATTACCAGGGGCTGGGGGTTGGGGGGGGGAGTCGGGGGAAGGAAGTGTGTTTAATGGGAACAGAGTTTGTGTTGGGATGATGAAAAAATTCTGGAGATGGATGGTGGTGATGGCTGCACAACCATGCCAATGTACTTAATACCAGCGAACTGTGCACTTAAAAAGGATTAAAATGGTCAATTTTATGTTTTGCATATTTCACCATAATTTAAAAAATACCTGGCAGAGTCAAAAGAAAAAAAAAATGCTGGTGACTGGGTCCCACTCACAGAATGTCTGACTTGGTGAGGTCCAGAAATCTGCGTTTTTTCAATAGCACCACAGGTGATTCTAAAGGAAGCAATTTGAGGACCACACTTTAAAAAATGATATTGCAGTTATCAAAAAAAAGGCCTTTCTATTTTAGAGATTTATACTGAAATATTTATGAATGAGATGATATGCTGTCTGGGTTTGCTTCGGAGATGAACCAGTGGGGCGGAGGCAGTGTTGGTGGAACAAATGAAACAAGCGTGGCCCTGAGTGAATAGCTGTTGAACTTGGGGGGTGGATACATGGGGGCTCATCCTACTGTTCTCTCCTCCTTTATACATGTTTGAAATTTTCTATAACAACAAAAAAAGCTTTTTAAAAACCAGGTGGGAGCCGGGTCATTCCCAACAGAGAGGAGAACATGATGAAAGGGATGGAGGTGAGTGGCAGATTGCTGCAGGCAAGGAACGACCAACAGTTTCATGTGGCTGGAGCATCCCGTTCAAGTCAAAGCAAAGAAGTGGTCAGAGATGAGGCTGGGAGCCAGGAAGGGTAATAGCCTGCTCAGTCTTGGCGGCCTTGTGCACGAGCGTTAAATCTTTTTGGGTGATGGGGAAACACTGAGATATTATGAACGCTGGAAAGAAAGATTTGTGCCTTAGCTAGACCACTCTGAGTGAGAGGGTGGATTTGAGGGGATCAAGTGGAGAGCAAATTGGAAGGCTCTTGTAGGTGATTTCAGGACCTGGACCAGGATGATGGAAGAAAAGGAGAGAGCGAGCCAGAACTGAGAAAGATATCAGTAGATGGGTATGACTGTCACAACTCAGCAATTACATATAAGGGAAGAATGAGCAAGAGGCAAGAATGATGGCAGACTTCTACTCTGGGGAACTGGACAGCAAACCCTTTAACCAGGAGAGGACATGCAGAAGGATTAGCAACTGTTATCTCACTGTGTCTTGAGAAAAGGATGCACCATTTGAGACTGAAAACTCCATGACCCTCCTCGTGTGACAGCTACATACACCCTTACCGATGTCTCAAGTCCTGTTCCTTTTATAGGTCCCTTCCCTTACAGAATCACAGGAGACCAGAGCTGGGAGAAGATTCCGGTAACATTTAGCCTAACACCCTCCTTGTACAGTTGGGAGCCCCGGGGGTAGTCACTGAGCAGTCTAACAGACTTATTATCTTTTGATTATGTGTCAGGCTGTCCTAACTTCAAATGAAAAACAACAAAAATCAACCACATACATTTAACCACTCCTTTCTGTTAACCTGACTCCCAGTCTTTCTTCTTCGTAGTCAAATACCCACTGCCCCATTTCCTTCTTAGAATTCATTTCTTAAAGCTCTGCCACTTTTTACTTCTCTGCCCTCCTATGATACTACTCTAAAATTAACTGAGAAAGACCTTCTTGTCAAACAAAACAGCCTTTACTCAGTCCCCACAATTGTTCTTCGGCTTTCTCTGAGAATGTGAACACTCTTCGCTGACCCCTGCTTGAACAGTCTCCTCTCCTGGTCTTTGTAACAATGAGCTTTCCTTGGGTCTGTTCCTTCCTCCGTTCACGATCCACTTCTTCTGAATCCACTTCTTCCTCTAGATCTTCACGCTTCCCTCATTAGCCAAACGCTCTTCCCTCTTCAGTCACTCTGGGGCCATTCACCTGACAGCATCCGCAATTTCTCCTGGGGTCACATCCAGGCCTGTCGGTAGTCCACGTGGAAAAGTTCTGCACGTGTCGCAAGCGTGATGTGCCAATTCTCTTGGCCCGCATCACTAGAGGCACAGTGCCTTCTTGGAGACAAGTAATCCATGTCCGCCTGGGGCTCACTGCTGGGCTGGACCACAGTTAAAAGGGACATTGACAAATGAGAGCCTGTTCTGAAAAGAGCAATGGGCTTGGTAAGGGATCTAAAAACAACAGTCCATGAAAACCACTGAAAAGGCTAAGAATGATGAGCTTGGGAAAGACAAGGCTCTTGGGATCCAGCTTTCTCCAAATTTGTGAAAACTTGTCACGTGGGATGAGGCATAGACGTGGGTTTTTTTTTTTCAGAAAGCAGAAATTTGAAGGCGGTTGTATTTTGACTTAACAAGAAAATGAAAAATCTTGCAAATAACAGAAGAAGGAGCGGTCTCTCAATGCAGTGAACTCTGCCCGTTGCTGAACGTGTTGAAGAAGAAACGCTTGCTCTGAGAGGGAGACTGGCCAGATCACCTCCAAGATTCTCTCCTCTAACGCCCTATGAATCGCTCTCTTGGTAGACATCCTGTCAGCGCCACAGACCGCACGTGTCCGACGTGGAATCAGCGGCCTGTCTAGCTCCTTGAATCCATCACGGATGCTGGTGTTCTTCCAGATTCCTAGACTGGAGATCTCAGGGCATCTTTGATTCCTTGCTCTCTTTAGGTCCCCACCCTCTGCCTCCCCAATGTTTCTTTGATTTGCTCTTGATACTTCGTTTCCATGGATACCATTACAACACAGACTTGCCAAATCCCATGTGGATAGAAGTCATTAGACTTCTGAGTTGGGATGGACCCTGGAGAGATCAAGTCCAGCCTGCTCATTAGGAGAATGAGACAGAAAAACTAAAGACCTGTCTAAGGTCACATGAGTAAACTTGGTGTAGGTTCTAGGCTCCAAGACTCATAGTGCCATATTCTTTCCATGCACCAGACCACAGCAGCTCTGGGATTTCTCCTTACCATCATCACTCAGGCCACCCTGATACACTTCACCTTCACTGGTTTTATAGAGACTGTCTATTACTTAACCATGGAATGACTGGCTGACTTGTTTTATATTGTGATGATCCTTGGTCAAACCATACGTATCAATCTCGACCTAGGGATTGCCCCCAATCTCCTAACTGTAGCAGACCGCTGGGTCTGCTTTGAGTTAAATAACACTGTCCTTCCCTAAGCTTCTCACAGACACTGCCAAAGCAGGACTGCTGAATTGTGAAATAAAGAAGAATTCTAGCCAGCTCAAGCTCTCTGGAGTCTGCAAATCCAGGCCATTTGGATTTGAAACGTATCATTGTACTCCAATGAGGACAAAAATTACATATATCATGTTAACTGGCCCTGCCTTGATTGCTCCCATAAAAGGTCCTGGACTCACGTTGGTTCCTCTGTTGCTATTCTGGTCTCTTCTAGTTCTTGTGCTTGTTTCAGCCAAGGCAATTTAGCTTCCACTGGACCCTTTTCTAAGAAAAAAAGGAACATAAACAACAAGCTTAATTATTGTTAATCATTAAAGAGTTAAATATATGACTGTTAATCTGCTGAAGATTTCATCAATTAAAAGGTCAGTCATGCTTTTCAAATGTCCAGTACGTTAAGTGGCTTCTGGATTGAATCAAAAATGTCTGTCATATTTTTGCTTTGGTTTTTTTCTCTCTCTTTTTTCTTTATTGATGTACAGTTAGTTTACAATGTTGCGTCAATTTCTGCTGTACAGCATAATGTTTCAGTTACACATGTATGTACATATATTCATTTCATACTTTTTTCATTATAGGTTACTACAAGATATTGAATATAGAGCTCTGTGCTATACAGTATAAACCTGTTTATATATTTTATATATAGTAGTCAGTATCTGCAAATCTTGAACTCCCAATTTATCCCTTCCTATGCCCTTTACCCCCTGGTAACTGTAAGTTTGTTTTCTATGTCTGTGAGTCTGCTTCTGTTTTGTAAATAAGTTCACTTGTGCCTTTTTTTTAAGATTTCACATATAAGTGATATCATACGGCATTTTTCTTTCTCTTTCTGGCTTCCTTCACTTAGAATGATGATCTCCAGATCCATCCATGTTGCTGAAAATGGCATTATTTTATTCTTTTTTATGTCATATATTTTTTTAATTAACACATTATCAAAATGTAACCAAATCATCCCCTGAGACGGTTACATATACTCTCCAAGTTAGCATAAAAATGTCTTTTGTAAGTCAATACCAGTCTCTGTTGTTTGCATATTAAAGCTCTTCCTTCAACCACATCAGTTTGCATCCTTTTGTGTCAAATTCTTTTTGCCCATTGATGAAGAAATTAATAGAGAAAAGCAAATAACAGAAGACGGAAACCTGGGAGAAGGAGGAGAGTTTGTGCTGTGGTTTTCTCAGACTTTAATTGCTGTAGTTGTTGAGGGAGACTATTACCAATTACAGTTAGCAGGCAGGAGCAAGCTGCTGTGCTTCTCTGCCCTTTGAAACTTCCTAAGATGTGAAGAAAGAAATAATCTAATTATGAAATGAGAAAGGGAACCATTCTGGGCTGTTCCAGGGGAACCACAGACACTAAGAACCTGGCTATAAAAGGACCATCAACCGCAGAAAGAGAAAGAGCTTTTTTCACTGAGGAAGTTATATAATCAGGATTTGTACCTTGCATGGAAACCACTGATTTTTCTGGAAGAAAGACTTCGTCAAACAAATATGTGTTGAATAGTAGGTTATGAGGCTATTTGTATGAATAATGCACCCAGAAGTAATGAAGAAGAATTTTTACCGTCCTCTCTGAAGTACTAAGGACGGCTCCTTGGCACTGACGCTTGGGAGTAATTCTTTTTCCATTTCCAAAAGGAAATAGTTGTCAGAAGGGTTGGTAATACCTTACAAAAGTACGTAGATGGAAATAATCATGTCTAGAGAGGAACATATATCCAAGATATCCAAGAGACGATGCCAAGACTTCCTAACCATGGATGCTACCCATTTCTGCTAACTCATGTGGAACAAATGGGAACTAAAAAAGAATTTCTAAATGCATCTATAAATCTAGATTGGCAGCTGAGAGTCTTCATTCCCTCATGGGAGGCAGTAGGACAACGATGAAGATGACACTGTCCCTTCCCCAAGAAACTTACACTGCAGCAGAAGGCATGCATGAAATACCGTGGGAAAACACAATGAAAACCTCGGGGGAACCTTCCTTTCCTCTTTCTCATTTTCATCCTCCTCCGTTTTCTTCAAGGCAGGGACTGCATCAAATTATTTTATGCCTACCAAGGAATATTAATATAAGCCTAGAGAGGTAGGAGCCACTCTACATGTACTGAATGAACAAGAGCTCAGTTTCCCCTCCAGATCAATTAATCACACAGGTCTAACTTGTTTATCTAGGTGGACAGGTCCACTGTAATCTGTCAGTAAAATAATTTTTATAAGAAAGCTAGTATGTTGAAATGTAAATGCTGCAATATTAGTATGAGAGCTGGAAAACACCATTTAATTTAACTTTAAAGTGCACCACAGAGTTACCTTTTGGCTTATAACATGGGATGGGAACGACGCACTCTTCTTTGATGTGTAACTTCAGTTGTGGATTACAGCCGCCAACGTGCTGGCCACGATGGTTGATACAGAGAACAACCCGGTACCGTAACCCTCGGCCACAAGTCACTGTGCACTTCAAAGACGAGAAGAGAAGCCAATGAGATTCTTTGAAGAGATCCACAAAGTTATTAATGTCTCAGATGCAGCAGAGCCACTGATCTCCATGAATATTAGATACAAAATATTATGGAAGGAAGGAGGCGGAGGCTGATACCCCACGATTCTTATGCCTCGGGGCCCCTCCCTAGCAAAGCCTCCTTTCAATTTCCATTTGAAAAGTATTTCAGATGAGGTCACAGTGCAAGAAAAATTGAAATGCCCTGAAATCTTTCAAATATGAAAGAATCCTAACATAGGTTTCCTCAAATTTGATTAAAAATTCACATGACATCATCCAACACAATGCATGAAGATAAAAGAAACTTTTCTAAACTATTAATTAAAAATATCAAATTTTGATCAATCATGTTAGAGGACTGTCGTTCTAATCTGTGTATGGAAATTGATCGTGCAAAACTACTGTCACGTGAAGAGGACATCAAAAGAACTCAGCCAAAAAGTTTAGGAAAACGTGCTATGGATACATCAGGCAGTTAAAATTAATGAAGACATTATGCTATTTTCTCTGCATTCTTACAAACTTAGTGTTGTCAGTGTTTTTTTTCCCCTTGAATTATTTGTGAAAGATTTGGAAGGTATTCTTGCCTATGAATGGAGTATTTTCAAGTCGTGGACATCAAGGATTTCTTTTCAATTTATCTACTTATGTTGGTGAGTATGTATGTATGTATGTGGGCTTATTCTTTAAATCAAGAGTTTATTTTTTAGGATTGTTTAACGTTTGTAGAAAAATTGAGCAGACAGTACAGGAAAGTCCATCCACCCCCCGACACCGTTTCCCCTAGTTTTAGTACTGCATTAGTGTGGTATCTTTGTTACAGCTGATGAACCAATACTGGTACATTATTATTAACTAAAGTCCAGAGTTCCTATTAGGGTTGTCAGCTTTCAAAAATCTGTAATTTCTTACAATTTTTTTCTTATTCTAAATAAACATTCACTTAGATGCCCAATATTTGTGTTGCGTATTCTTTCTTCTTAAAGAGTCACCTCCATACTGCATACACTTCAGGCCCCGCCAATCCTGGATCCACCCCTGGGAGAGGCTGGGGTCCTTGTGCATGTGCTACAGAGCAGGCACTGTTCAGCAGATGTGATCTCACTAATTGTCCGACACACTGGCAGGTGAACGGCTTCATGCCCACTTAACAGGTGAGCAAACAAACGGCCCACCACCTAAGGACCTTGCTCACGGTTACATAGCTCCTAAGAGGCAGAGTGGAATTCCATCCCTGAGTCTCCTGTTGTCAAAATAATGGCTTTGCCACTGCTTCACAAAGCTTGAAGACTCTTTCCTGAGTCCATGGACGCTTTCTTCATTGTCACAGACACACTGCAGAGGACATGGAAGCATTTTTCAGCATATACCCACCTCTAGGAAGAGCAGAAGAGCAGGAAACCTCTCTTATTCATCACAACACTCTTAGGAGCACTGAACAAATACTGATATGAGTTCAGTGAGGTTTGAGATTACATCCTACGTCTGGGAAACCGATTCACCCACCCCCACATGTACCAATTTGAAATCCATGTGATCTTGAGAGACTATTTTACATTGGCCAAGAAGGAAAATATTCTGCCCAAAGAAAAAGAAAACAATACAGTTATAAGGTCTTAACTATCCTGGAACTTGGTCAATCCAAGGGAGTATTGTCTCCTAAGCAGCTTCTCAAGGAAGCTGGACTTTTTCCCCATCAGGTCTGTGTTTACAACATTTCCAAAACTCCTCTTTCAAGCTGAATACACCCTTGATGATAGCAAATCCTCATCGCTGAGAATGATTTTGATTTGTTTTTTAATGAAAAGTATGAAGAGCCAAGAAAGGTGAATGAGATGTGTTGGTTAACAATCCTTTGTTTTGGGTATTAAAAGTGATGATACAGTCATGATATTGATGGGGGTGGGAGTGGAATAAGAGCTCTAAAGACAACACAAAACATATGGATAAGACTTTCAAGAGCTGAGAACACGCTCTGCGGGTTGTAGAGGTCGTGTTGATCTCTGATGATAGAGCACAATGTGATTTTTGGCATATAATTTGGGAGTTCAAAGAACTGAATGACCTTGCCACAACAAAGCCCTTCCCTCTCAGTCTACTGATTTATGTGAACAAGCTTTCCCAGTGTGTGCGTGCAAAACACAACAAACCAAGAAATCGGCAATAAAAATTTGGAGTAAAATTACTGCTGAACCTACGTTTCACGCTGGCAATGCACTAATTTTTAAAGGTCTACTCATCTCCTAGAAAGGCAGATTTCACAGGAAAATTTCCTTTCTATGTATAATAACTATTTGCCAAAAATTGAAATATATTTATGTTGTTTTGGTTGTGTACTAAATTAAATTTAACAATAACTTAATCCAGGGGAACATTTCCAATACCTAAAGCCTTATGGTTATAGGAAATTAAAATAAATGAATTCAATTGCTACACACATTTTCTTGGAGAAAAGTAGAATAATGTAACCAATAAAAGGCTCTAAAACATAAAAGTACATTATATTAGGATGAAATTCTGTGTGTGGGGGGGAAGTGGATTAAAAATGTGAGTTCAAGGGGGAAATAATGCAAAATACTCAAATTATTCAAAAGGAGCTTGTTCATATGACTTTTAAAAATGAAAGATGGCAAGGATAGAAACCATCATGGCATTTACATTCTACTGGACATTTTTTTTGAATGCTATACCACTTTTATTTTAAAATGTTAGCATTCACAACATGTTAGAAATGACATTCTTTTGATATTTTTTATTTAAACTTGTGACAAAAAATTTCAGATGTCAACCTAAATATATGTGAAGGGGTATGTAATTTTGCAAACTTCTTTTGGTATGTGAGCCAAAGAGAATGAATAACTCCTGCCCTAATAAGTACAAACAAAGTTGTAGAAGGTAACGATTTTGAGCTGGGGATATGGGAAAAGGACTGTGATGGAGGCAGCCTCCGAAAACTGGGGCTGGAAGTGGGTCTTCTCCAACCAGAAGACTTATCTCTGTTCTTCAAGTTGCAGTTCAAGTGCTACCTCCTTTCTGAAGCTGCCTCTGATACCTTCAGGTGGAGAGGATCACCCCACCTCTGGGTGCCTGCAGAACAGGACACGCGACGCCTTGCACCACAGTGTTACACTGCATCACAGTGGTTTATTTGATGCACGTTTCTGCAACTGGATTCTGAGTTTTTGGGGGGCAGGAGCATGCTTTATTTCCTTCCTAGGATGGCGGCTGACGCACTGAATACATAAATAGATGAATAAATAGATGAATGCATGCATATGTTGAGCTAAATATGTAAAGATCACTCAAAAGGGCTAAAGAAACACGAGTCTAGAAAAATAAAAGTTTAAGATTAAAATGTTCAATACCAACACGTGTGATGTTTCTACTTGACTCCTCCAACTGCACTTTATTTGCTCTGGAGGTTTACTTGGCCGTCTCCCTAGAATGAGGAAACTAAGCTAATCTGACACGAGGCTTTCTCATACCTCTGGGCTGCTTCCCTGCTCTTTTCTCTTTTCCCACCCTGACACCCCAGTGATGTTCACATAAGCTGCGCACCTTGGGTCTTTCCCAGTGCCAGTCTATCTTGCCTCAAGTATTTAAAATATAATACATTATTTTCTCCAACTAGAATTGTGAAGATTCTTAGTAACTACTAGATCAAGAACACACTTCTAATGTCCATTTTAGCATTTCCATCTTAAGCTTCCAATTCTTGGGAACATGGGTTCTCCCTTTAATCTAGATGACTTAGGACCTTTTCCTATCTCTAGTCATTCCGTGTCATTTCTACGTTTGCTCAGCCATCTTAGCTTGGCCATATCCCACAATGATGTCTTCTCTAGGCTCTTGCTTGGTTAAATTCTGCTCATCTTAAAGATGGGTTGAGTCCTACAAGGGCAAGAAAGACCTCCCAATCAATCAAGTTCCTATATCTGTTCCTTTAGGTGTACCATGGTTCTTAGTTATTCTTACCTACACTGATGCCTACCATGTTCTCTTACATGGTCCTCCAACTGTCTCCCTAAGCTCTCTGGAAGTCAGAAGCATGTTCACACACAACCTCTGCACCCCTCATGCTACCCAGGACAGTGTTGGGCAAATAGCAAATAATCACTCAAATCTGAAATTTGATTACAAGTGGCATGTTCTCCAGTCTTACCTGAGACCACTCCATGGCGATCCACTTGGGGCAGTCGAACAGATTGCAGGTCTGCATCACCTTGGGTTTGGGCGCATACATGCACTTCCACTCTTCCACCTGCAGTATCTCTCCGTGCATGGACTCCTCCACACACACGAAGCTCCGCCTCTGAATCCCGCCTCCACACGACACCGAGCATGCCGTCCAAGGATTATGTTCCCAGCTCAAAAGCAAACAAGTGAAAACACATTATTTGTTGTTTGTTTCAAGTTTGCAGAGATGATGGCGAAAGTGCAGCCTCAGGAAAACAGTTGTAGTTCAGATGAAAGAGGACTGGACTTGGAATCTTATAGTTTTAATCTTATGCTACACACAACCTGCAGTCACAAGGTACTTAACTCCTTTGACTCTAAGGTTATCGTCAAGTGGAAGTAACACACCTGCCCTCATGTATTAGCACAATAGGGCCATCGTGAGAACCAAATACATACAGAGTATGAAAGCATCTTCAAACTGTCTCTAAACTATAAATCACGAACGGACAGCATTACTAGGGAATCACAGAAACTCAAAGTCAGGAAGAACCATACTAGTCATCGAGGTGTAAAAGGGCATTCAAATTTCTGGTGAATTGCAACGCTTGAGCTCCCTCTGTAACTCCCAGTTATCCAAGATACGCTTGACATCGCCAGTGACAGAAAACATCACCTTTTGAGGCTGCCTATTCCATCTAATTCTTAGAAAGATCTTTCTTATCACGGAGTTGAAGTCTGTGTCCCCTTAGCTCTCCGTGAAGGGTCTAATATCTGTCCCTCTTCCATTTTAGGCTATTGCTACAGATACTGCAGTTCCTTACAAACCACTTAGACCAAATTACAAAAAGGAAAAGGAAACATGTGACTCACCGAGGGAGAGGCTGGAAGTGGTCATAGGGCATGATCTCTTTAAATCCATCACTACAAATGAAATCATCGTGAGAATATAATTTCTAACCAATTAACATTTATTAATTTGATTAGTACAGGCGTGACATCCTAAAAGACAGAGCACTTTCAAATTAAAAGCTAAATGCAAAGTGTTATGCTCCATTTCCCCCAAAATTAAGCCACCACCTCCTTAATTTTCAGGAACATCTCTGACAACCTCCCCAGTTCTATATGAAAATATAGAAAATGGAACTAACGATATGTATTAATCAAAGGAATGAGTTTCTCTTAACTTAGACCTGTTCATTTGCTTTTATCATCTTAAGAGGTTATTTTGGTAAAATATATTAAGGATATTAACACATTGTCATATTATTAGGATCTTCAGAAAACCATTTTATTTCACAGAATTTGTCCTTTGAAAAGCCTCTATTAATAATTCATACACCTGGGACTACAGGAAATGCTCAGTTTAGTGACAGGAAATGAAATCCACCGAGAACGCTTCCTTTTCCACTTGCACACGTCTGCCTTTGCCAGCTGGCAGATAGCTGGGGGATTCTGGGACTTGATATGGTGCTGTTATTTTAAGATACTGTAGTAAAGCCAGGAAACTTCCCCAGGCAATCCAAGTCATCAGGTACTAAATTATGCAGCAGGATAGTTTATGGATAGCTTTTCTGCTTTGGCATTAAAACTTTTCACTTCCTTGCATGATGCATTATTTATACTGAATTTAATGTGAACACTTCAAAAGTCAAAACGTGGTCATGGGTGACAGTTTAAAAAGTTCAAATGGTGAGCTGCCGGTATTTATGGCAAGCGGATGGACTAGACATTGTACTTGGACAGAGAGATCTCTCATGCTGTGTATGCAGGAGATGCTCAAAGAGGCTCATTAGCAAGAGTTAAATGGCACAGCACATGGGCGCACAGCCCACAAGAGAGGGCTGCGCTGAGTGAGCTGATGAGCCTAATTCCTACTTACCACAGTTATAAACGTGAATGCCAGTGCCTGCCACCAGTGTACGTTCAAGGTCATGCAATGGAAATGTGTCCCCTGGAGAGGATGGATCAGTCTCTGCTGCAATTGATTTGCTTTTTTTTTTTTTTTAAAGGAAGAAGGGTCTGGGCAGTTATGCAAACCTCGATGGGCAAGGATCCATGCTGCATTCCTTCAGTTTCGGTTTTGGTTTCACATTTTCAGGGTAGTAATGGCAATAATGGTCAGGAACCACCCTCTTCAGGCGGATATCCACACATTCAGCAGAATTGAGCTGATAACCTAAAGCAGCAGAACAGGAACGTGTGAATATCACATCCATTCCGTCTTCACTTGGCAAAGCTAGCACTTGCCGCACACTTTTTTTCCTCTTTAAGGAACTGAACTCTGTGGTTCTCCACCCTGGGTGTGTAACAGAATCACCTGGGATCCTTTCATAAACACCAATGCCCAGGTCCCTTCCTGGTCCAACTGTCACTAGGTCCAAGAAATTAATCTTTTTTCCCCAGGATTCTCAGGTTCCTCTAAGATGTCTAAAATGTGTGGCCAAGATTGAGAATGACTACTTGAACTGATTGTGTTAGTCTGAGCACTTATAACTAGTTACAGTAGACTCCTTTGAAAATGTTTGGACCTCACGTACAGACTGTTAGTTATTCACTGTCCTCAGGTCACTGTCACATGTCCTCACTGTCATCATGGTACTGGGCAAGGCCCCGCTCTTTTTCCCCTTCTCCCATCGCCACTCCCATTACAATCCCCCAGAGACACCTCTTTATCGTTTGTATGTCCTTAAACATACATCTGCCTTATGTAATGTTTTGTGTGTATTTGTTTTAACTAAATAAATGATACTGTGTTTCAGATCCTGTTGTTTTCTACTTTTCTCACTCAACATTACATTTTTGAGAGCAACCCTTGTGCTGAGTTGCTGCTTCCTTCTTCTGTGTAATATTCCACTGCTTGTTACTTTTTACTCACTTCCTGTCCTGGGGTACTTAGGGTGCCTCTGATGACAATAAGCTTTCTACCTGGGGAATTAAGCATTGTCTATATACAGAGGAACAAAATACTTCCGCCAGCACCTCCCCCTGACTCACAAGCCTTCAAAGAGGAGGGAATGAAGACTGATGCCTGATTCTACTCATTTCAGTTCGTACAGTCTCTGAGGGAAGTGAACGTTCCAAAAGCACGAGTGCTGTAAATTTAAAAAACAACTCACAAAACGACGCTTCTATTTCCTGAAAGATTTGATTCCAGGTTTCCTGTCACTACAGAAGTGTCATGTTAAGTTTAAAAAAAGGTAAATTTTTAAAACCAGAATGAGCTCTTCAGGAAAAAAAAAAAAGCCCTAAGTTAAGTTCTCAGCCTCTGCCAACTGGTCTAAAGTTCTAAAAATACACTTAGAGGCCTGATTGCCGAGAAGAATCTGATTTTATAAACTACTAGACAGCTTTCTACAAGTCATGGCTGAGTGGAAGGACGACGGGTTATGCCTTATAAAAAGCAAGGTCCAAACCACAGGAATGAAAATCCAAATGGAGTCAATAAAATATTACTTGGGTGCCAACATCTGCCAGAAAGTCTACAATATCAGGTGGCAGTGGCACTTCCCCCAAACTGATCTCAAGTGTCCTACACAGATGCTTGCAGACAAGACTGGGAAAGTCCATCCAAGCACCTTGGAGACCAGGGAGTTAATTTTAGTAATTACCCCCCACCCCAAAACTCTGAAATAGCATTTACACAAATCATATAGATTTGATTTCTAATATAATTAAATTTTGGTAATGCTTTCCTTGTGGGTTTTACGTGTGTGTTTTTATTTTCCTCAAAACAATAACAGAATGAGATCACAGCTCCCTGAGTCAAAGAAAAATCTTCGCTCTAAATGGAAACATATCTCTAGAAGAACGAGATGAGAAGCCTACAGTCGTTTATAATTTAGGGAGAGACAATTAACTTTCCTCTTAATTTTGTGGCAGTCCAGAGATAACCAAAAGTGAAAGAAATAAGGCAGACGGCCTTCCTACGTGGTGAACAAATGTAGTGAAGTTCTGCCAGTGTGCAGAAAATGGCAGGCTATTGAGGGGCCCCAAAAGCAGTGTGAAGTTTCCCTTCTGATCTTATAGCCAACGCTGTCTTTGGTGGACAGTCTCACAGTCAGGTGTTTCCATTTAACGTTCCAGCAGGACTGACTGTGTCTTCCTTTGGGCACCCAGATACGAGAAACGTCTATTCTCCTCCCAAGAATTTAACCAACTGAACTAAGCTGAGTCCCATCAGAAACGAGAAATGTCCCTCCCAGAGTGGAAAGCTTCTCTTTTAACTTGTGTGTCCAAATGGGAACATCTCTCTAACTGTGTGTGAGAGCTAGGGAATAAATTAAAAAAAGAGAGATGTTTGTTTTTTTGATGCGTAAGAATAAAAAAGCCCCCCGATCCTTTTGCTTTTATTTGGGGTCCCTGAGAGACTCCTGTCCTTCCCGAAGCCATGATCCAACTCGCTTTAAGCTGGTGGGATTCTGGTTCTGGATAAAAAATATTCATGGAGGGATCTCTGGGTACGTCCCACTCACTCTGAGAGCTTTCTCCTGTGACCATATAACTCACGACCAGAGAACGCCAGAAGCGGGGGATGGCCGAGGACCTGTAGATTACACAGAGGCACCTTTGACAAAACTCAGGTGTCAATTCCGACATTACGGAGATTTCCTGAGTGCCCGCTAAGTGCCAGGCATTACATTGCGCTCCTTAAGATACGCCATCTCACTTTAACCCCCAGCAAGGTTACAATGGGAATCATTCTATTTTATAGATGAGAAGAACGAGGCTCAGAGATGTCTCAGAGTTAATGAGCAGCAAAAACAAGAAGTGAATCCAGATCTTCAAATTCCAACTCTAATACTTGTCCCACTATGCCATGCTGCCCCTTTTTTAAAAATTATTATTAAAGCATAGTCGATTTACAATGTTGCATTAGTTTCCAGTGTACAGCATAGTGACTCAGGTGTACATGCACATATTTTTTTCCATATTCTTTTTCATTATAGGTTATTACAAGATATTGAATATAGTTCCCTGTGCTACACAGTAGGACCTTGTTGTTTATCTATTTTATACATAGTAGTTTGTATCTGCTAATCCCAAACTCCTAATTTATCCCCCTCCCCACCTTTCACCTTTGGTAACCACAGTTTGTTTTCTATTTCTGTGAGTCTGTTTCTACTTTGTAAATAAGTTTATTTGTGTCCTTTTTTTTAGATTCCACGTCTAAGTGATATCATATGGTATTTGACTTTGACTCACTTCACGTAGTACGATAATCTCAAGGTTCAAAACTGAGAGCATGTTAGAGCTGGCAGGGATCCAAAGATTGTCTGCCCCATTGTTTCATTCTCATTGATTTTTGTGATTCTGTTTTATTTATGACAAGAGATAACAGTTTCCCACGTAAGGTAGTAATATTAAGTTACTTGGTAAACATGGTTATTGAAGTTTTTTTTTAAAGGTCCATTTGAAGAAAACAGCTTAAGTAAATAATAGCGCAGGGGTAACACAGATAAGGCATAAAAGTACAGTTAGCATGATTATAGCTGACAGTCAGACGTTGCCCTAGAGAGCAGTGGGTCTTAAACCTGAGGGTGCACCAGCCTCCTGGAGGGCCCTTGGAAACAGACCGCTGAGCCCCACCCCCAGAGTTCTGATCCAGTAGGCCTGGGGTGTGGTCAAAGATCTGAACCTCTCACAAGTTCCCAGGAGACTCTGGGGCTGCTGGTCCAGGGACCCCACCTTGAGGAGCGCTGCTGTAGGGTCACCACCAAGTGATCTACTGCCCAGGCCTGGCCTGGGAGAACTAACTGGGAAATGAGGAAGATTTGCTTTTTCCTTTCTTTTCAGAGCCCTGTTTAACCCTCAAACTGTTTCCCTTCCATTCCCTGGGACACAAGCTCCTTCTGGGGTCTGGGATGCCCACAGCTCCCCACAAAAGTGCCTGCCTCCTGGTTTCCCAGGGAGTGTGAATCCCAGAAGAGAGAGGTCTGCCCTGCGTCTTCACGGAAGCTGACATTGCCTGAGGATTCCTCCTTGACAGAATCGCAGTGTAAAGGACAGAGGCCAGAGCCCAGCTAGGCTGCTCTCTCTGCCTAAGTTGATCTTCTTCTGGAGGGAGGAAATGCTTTGGGGCTGGGCTGAGCTGGACTGGCCTGAAGGAGGAGGATTTATTCTGGCTCTTCAAACAGAACCATCCGTGAGCCTGCCGACGCCGACCTGGTCCCAGGTGTGGTAGACGGTTCAGGGGAGACCCAAGGGGAAGATCACTTAGAGCATGGCTCTGGCATCGGACAGACCTAGAGCCGGATCCGAGCTGTGCTGTTTCCTAGCTGAGCAACCTTGATTATATTCTTTACCCTTTCTAAGTTTCAGTTTGCTCACTCGTGGAAGTCACGAGAACAGACCTTTCTTGGAAAAATAAACGTGATGGTGAGTACTCTAGCACATGGCTTGAGACGTGGTACATGCCACGTACTGTTATCTGGGAGTTTTAGTGGCAGCATCAACATTAAGTCCCTCTAGCAGTTTGAGAAAGTAACTCCTGGGTTGGCACTAATTTTGAACCATTTACTCTTCAATTTAAAAGTTCAGTTCAGGGAAAGAGAATTGTCTTGACAGTGGCTCTGGTCACTTCATCTGCTCCACAGGGTCAGTTAAATAAACAATCATCCTCCATCTGAGCCTGCAAAGATGTGCCGCATGTGTGGGGAGCCCCGGGTTACATCTGAGCCCCAGGACCTTCCTCAACTGTCTGTGAACACCTTGAACTAAGCAAACAGTAAGCAGGACCCTCCCCTTATCAAATAGTGGGCAGACTTTCTCTTTTTGCTAAGTTTATACTCTGGCACCTGAGGAGACAGAGGGTGGAAATCTAAGTGTTAGAACCAACACCGCCATTAACTTGAGCAGACTGAGCAACTCACTTGGACTCTCTGTTCCTCGGGTTTTCCACAGAAAATTTAAAGGACATGCTTTAAGGACAACGAAGAAAAGAACACATGCAAACATCTTCCCAGCTCTTTGCTAAAAGCAAAGGGTGGTTTCCAAATCCAGTTTTCACCTGTCTTCAAGAACAAGGCAAATGCACATTTATTAACACCGCAGCATTCCAGGCCACTGAGCACGATGCTGTGAGATTACACCTCTCTAATTACTACATAATTTTAAAGTCAGCTTCAAAAAGGCCAGTGTGTCATCTCCAACTCTGAGCTCTAAATATTCACGAACAAAGCCTGTGCCTCACCTCCTCCACACGTCGCAGTGCAGGGGAAGAAGTCAGTCTGTCTCCATTGATGACTGATCGGCTGGTAAAAGAAGAACTGGACCACGCTGTCCTTGGCCGCAGTGGACCTGGTCTGGACAGAGAGAACGGTGATAGCACATTTGTGTACAAGGAGCTAGTGCTTTCCACACTTTTCAAAATGAGACGAATGTAAGCCACCTGTGTAGACAACCACATATCTATCACAACAAATTCCGGCATGTGAAGATTCCCAGAATTTTAAGATGTGATAGCATTTCAACTCGATTTGTCAAGAATGGGATCTCGGAAGATCTTCAACCCATCTCCCTGGAGTCATTTTTCCAGATAATTCCATGTCTCTGAATGAGTTCACAAAAATGCAGGTGGACTTTTTGTTTATTTGTTTAACGTTTTTTCCTTCCTGATACATTTGATTTTAATCTCCACAAGAGCAGGGACTGAGACTTAATCTGGGTTTGCTTACAACATGGCACGTAATTGCGAGTCTTACGTTTTTAGTAACAACATCTTTAAAGCATCTTTAAGAAGACCCTTTTGAAAAATCCATCTGAAAGTACAGCCAAAGAAACTCAAAGGTACACAACTACATGGTGTCTGCAGACAAGCATGTCAGCACTAATTCAAAGAGAGAAGGGGCTGCTGAGAGCGAGCAAGCGGCTACAGACAGAGGTAAGTTTGCTTTGGGGGTTATTTTACTCCGGGAGCAAGTCTTCTCCCTCTTTGTTCTTTTCTTCCCTAGTGGTTGAACAAATGAGTGAACTGAGGAAAAGTCCCAGAACATAACACAAGGAGAAAAGGAGAGGGAAAAACAAAAGTTCAGCTGGTGGGGGAACAGATCCAGAAATGTCAGCCTCACGTGGAACTCAAGAGAGAGAACAGAGAAAATAATGAAGAGGAGATATCTGATTACATAACTGCTGGGAACTTGCTAGACCTAAGAAAGACAGGACTACTCACTCTGATAATGCTCATCAAGTTCTGAGCAGACGTTGTAAAAAACTCAGCAACAAAGGATAAAGAGAAATCCTAAAAGTTACCAGATAGAAAAAAAATGATTCCCTACAAAGGAGTGAGAATCAGATTGGCATAAGACTTCTCTTAGGCAATGGTGGATGCCAGAAAATAAAATCATACCTGCAAAAGGATGAGGGGCAATCATTTTTTAATCTAGAATTCACTAACCAAAGTATTCATCACTAATCAATTGTCAATTTACAAACAATCTATGATCAAATTATCAATCAGTAATCAGTGAAATAAAGATATTTTCAGACACAAAAGGAGTGAAACATTACCACTTAGAGGCCCTCACTAGGAAAAAAAAAACACTGCTGAACAAGAACTAAAGAAAGTAGTCACACGCAAGAAGCAATCATGATGAAATAAATCAGGAAAGCTTATCAGTAAATCTAAACTAGAGTTGAGTGAAAAGTAATAGTTTGATGTATTTACTTATAAAACAGTTTAAAAATTGTAAAATGGTAAAAAAAAAAATTCCAGACATGAGCTGTGTGTGGAGGGAGGGAGGGTCACAGTGACGGGTGAGGACAGCACAGAGGTCACAGAGGCAGAAAACACTTGTAAGGAGTTTTGCTTCTCGCCATGGAAGAATAGCTTGTTTCTGAGGAGCCCTCCCAGTGTGAGTAAGTAAAAATGCTGTGTCAAGTATTTTTCAAATGTATTTGAAGGCATCAGAAAGCTACCATAGTAGTGAGGATTTGCAGGGCCAAGATCCCAGACACAAAGGAAGCCCAGAAAGGTGAGCACAACATTTGGCACCACCTTTGGCACCGTGTTTCTGCTCAAGACATTTTCCATTTTGCAAGTGGTGACTGAGCGGCTGAGAAGCTGAGCAGGCCTGTCATCAGACTCATGGGGCCAGGGGAGCAAATCCTGGAGCTCCAGGCCTGCCAAGGTGAGGAGTGTTGGTAAACAGCCCAGGCTGTCAGTTGGGACCCCAGAAAGCTGTATCCTAGGAATCAGAGTTATCTGGAAATTGTCCAGTTTTCAAAGGGAATGAAGCCCAGGTTCAAATTATTTTAGTTCCTTGTTGGATGAAGATGACTGGCTGCTAACCCGTCTTCCAAAAGCAATAATTTATCCAGTCTCAAATTATATGTCTAATCTTTCATCAACTATGTTCAACAAAACTTAAAAATAACCCTAGGTATACAAAAAATATAAAATTTAACAACAACCAAAAAAGTGGGAAAATTGAGATTATTAACAGAATTACAGGAAATCCAGGTATGGGCATAAACTGATAGAAAATTAAACTTAAGTAGAGCACTACCACTTCCTATAACTCTGGCTTTGGCTTCATGTCTTGTTTCCCTGCTTGAGGGGCCTAGCAACACCTCATTCTGATCCCATGATCATAAAACATCAGTGTTAGCACATGGCTTTTGCCTCAGGCTCTGCTTTTTAGAGGACCTAGACTCAGATACTATGACTAAAATGTTCAAGAAATTAAATGACAAGATGGAGAATACAACAAAAATAAAATGTGACTGTAGAAATAAAAAGCACAGAAATTTAAATAAATATCTCAATGAGTAGACTTAATAGATTAGACTAGGATTCAGCAAATACTGTCTTCAGAAAACAGATAGTAAAAGTTAGCTTTCAGGCCATATTCTCTCAGTTGCAATTATTCAGTTCTGCTGGTGTAGTGCAAAAACAGCCACAGGCAATATACAAACAAAAGGGGGTTGTTGTAAACTCCACTTACAAAGACAGGTGGTTGGCTTGCTGGTTGTAATCGGCTGACTCCTGGATTATACACACCTGAACAGAGAATTAGTAAACTGATAGATAAAAAGAAAGTGGAAATAAGACATGTGGGATAGAGCCTCAGAAAAAGAGAACAAAGAGAGTACAATAGAAACCACATCTGAAGAGGTAATACGTGAGAATCTTCAAAAACTGATGATGGATATCAAGCCACAGATTCATAAAGCACCATGGACCTCAAGCAGGAAAAACCCACTGATTACATCATCGTCAAACTGATGAAAACCAAAAACAAAGAGAAAGCACTTGAAAGCAAAGAAAAAAGACACATTACCTTCTAAGGAACAAAAACAAGACTGACAGCTGACTTCTCAACAGAACAAATGGAAGCCAGAAGACAATGGAGAGATATCTTCAAAGTGCTGAAAGAAAATCATTTCACAATGATAAAGAGGTCAAGTCACTAGAAGAGGTAATGATTCTAAGTGTATCTGACCACCTAGCCTCAAAATACAGAATTCAAAAATTGACAAGAATAGAAAAAGTATAGACAAATGCACATAGTGGTAGTTTTACCATGTCTCCCATGGTAACTAATAGAATAAGTAGACAAAAATCAGGAAGGTTATAATTTTTAATAAAATCATTAATAAATACATAGAACATTGTGTCCAACAACAGAAGACTACGTATCATATTCTTCTAAAATTTGCTATATTCTGAGCCAAAAATTAAGTTTCAATGAATTTAACATTGAAATAATAATATTCTTTGACTACAGTAGAATTAAGCTATAAAATGATGAGATTACTGGAGAATTCCCACATACTTGGATGCTACACATCTAAATATTCAAAGAGTCAAAGAATATAATATTACTATGGAAAATACAATGCACTTTAACTGAATGAAGGAAAAGAACTTACACTACCAGATATCAAGACTTGTTTTAATGTTACAGTAACTAAGTCACAATGGTATTGGCACAAATAGACAAATAGGTCAATGAAACAGAACAGAGTCCAGAAATAGACTCACACATATATAATTTGGGATTTAAGACAAATAGGGAAAGAGTTGTCTTTTCACTTAATGGTTTTGAGTCAACTGGATAGTCATATGGGAAAAAAACTGATTCTACTTTATAACATACACAAATATCGATTCTAGGTGGATTATACCCCTTAATATAAAAGGTAAAACAATAAGATTATGAGACAAAAACATACAAGAACATTTTTATGATCCTGGATAAGGCAAAGGTATTCTAAACAGATACAAATAGCTTAAGCATAAAGTTAAAAATTAACAACCTACACCATGACAAAATTAAGAACTTCTGTATGGGGGAACTGATGGTCCGAAATTCATTTAATGGAGAACAAAAGTTGAAAATAAAATGAATTACAAATTTAGCTCTAGAAGCTAAAAACATATCACAAAAATAAAACCATGTAAAGATAAAGAAACAAAAATAAGAATTTACGCAAATAGACTTTTTTATAAACCCTGAGAGTTAACAAGACCAAAATCCAGTTCTTAGGTGTTTCAGAGACAAATCTTTGAATGGTTTGAACAAAACAAAATATTAGACAAGGAACCAGTGAACAAGTTTAAGAGTGAAACAGACACAATTATAGGTACAGTTGAGGTTTTTTTTAATGATAAGGCAATGCTATGATTGCATTAGAAAAGTTAAGTTTGAAGAGTTAGATGAACTGGACACTTTTGAATTGGACAGAAATTGTAGTATTTCTGTCCTAAATAAATCAGTAAGTCTAAGAGGAATTGAAATGGTTTTCTGAGTCTTGTTCATTATCACCTGAAAGAAAAAGAGGAAAAAAAAAAGGAAGGAAGGAAGGAAGAAAAAGAAAGAAAAGGCATTAGGCCCAGACATTTTACAGAAATAAATAATCCTTATTGTAGCAGAAACATTCAGCTGCTTCCCAATATCCACTTCCCTTTCCCATTCTGTCAGAGGCTCAATTTTCTTCCAATGTTCATTCCTCCTGAATGTATCTCAGATAACTCTCTTAGCAACTTCCAGACATACAAAATGGCACTGTTAACGTTAGTCACCATGCTTTACATTACATCCCAGAACTTATTTATCTTGTAACTACAAGTCTGTACCTTTTGACCACCTTCACCCATTTCATCTACCTGCACCTTCTTCCTGCCTGTGGCAACCACTAGTCTGTTCTGTGCACCTATGGGTTCGAGTTTTTTTTTTTTTAATTCCACTTGTAAGTGAGATTATACAGTACTTCTCTTTCTCTGACTTATTTCACTTAGCATAATTCCCTCAAGGTCCATCCATGTTGTTGCAAATGGTAGGATGTCCTTCTTTTTATGGTT